TGGTGTTTCTTAGGCATCTTTTTCGTTTTTTGAGACAGTCTCGCTTTGTCGCCCAGTCTGCAGTGCAGTGGTGCAATTTCAGCTCACTGCAACCTCCACCTCCTGGGTTAAAGTGATTCTCCTGCCTCAGCCTCCTGAATAGCTCTGACTACAGGCACGTGCCACCACGCCTGGCTAGTTTTTATGTTTTTAGTAGAGATGGGGGTCTCACCCTGTTGGCCAGGCTGGTCTCAAACTCCCAACCTCAAGTGATCCACCTGCCTCGGCCTCCCAAAGTGCTGGGATTACAGGCGTGAGGCACTGCACCCGGCCTCTTAAGCAGGTTTTGATGCCAGGCTATGAGGCTGCACGTGGGGGCAGAATGGCGGTCCCCGAGTCATGGTCGGGAGCAGCATTAGAACAGTGCCAACAGGCCTGCATGGGTCTCAGCTCCTGCTGTGTTGATCTGGGCAGGTCCTTGGGCTCTCTGGTCCTAGGGCAGGAAATTGCTAAATGGTAACTCACTGGGGTTTGGTCAGTGGGGTTTGGCTGCAGCAGGCCATGCCTGCATTCCTTCCCACCCACAGAGCTGGGTGGGGACGGTCTCTCCCCTCTCCCATAGAACTGGGTTCCCTCGCCGGGGTAGGGGTGAGGGTCTACCTTGTTGTCTCCCGTCTGCATAGACACTGAAGCGGAGGGGCATTGGCCTCGATGGGCCAGAGCTGGAGCCAGACGAAGGGCCTGAGGAGCCAGGAGAGAAGTTTCGGAGGCTGGCAGGCGAAGGGGGTGACCCAGCCTTGCCCCGACCCCGGCTATATGTAAGTGACTCCCCTTGCCCCCTGTGAATAGGGTATTCCTCCCACTTCCTAGACCCAAGTGGTTGAGGCTGGTACTAGAGAGAGGCTTAGAGCCAGGGAGCCTGGAGTTTGAAGGCAGATCTCCGCCTGGTTGGGCAAGGAAGGCTTCTTTGAGAAGTGGGCACTGTAGCTGGGGCTCTGAAGCATGAATAAGAGTTCAACAGGCAAACAGTTCCTTCCTTCATTTGATCTTTGATTCATCTAACACTCTGTGCAGCCCTCTCAGTGGCAACTCTACACTAAGTGAGAGGCCTCAGCTCTGGACCTACCTGTCGGTGACAGAACCAGATAGAAGCTCCCGCAGCCTGTGGGGTTAGGGCAGAGGGACGAGCAGGTAGAGAGCCCGGTGAGAGGTGCAGCAAAGGCTTCCTGAAGGTGGAGCCGGGCCCCTGAACTCATCGGGATTTTCTCCCTTGGACTTGGCACCCCCATCTACCCTGGGGTCCTCTGACCCATCCCCTCTGTACCCAAGCCTGCAGCTCCTGCTATGCCCAGCCCAGATGTGGTGTATGGAGCCTTGCCACCACCAGGCTGTGACCCCAGTGGGCTTGGGGAGGCACTGCCTGCCCAGAGTCGCCCCTCTCCCTTCCGGCCAGCAGCCCCCAAAGCAGGGCCCCCAGGTGAGCATGGGACAGGGGTCCCAGGGGGCTATTTGGGCATATCTTGGCTTTGGCGTGCATCAGCTCTAAACCTTAGACTTCATAGTTGGCATGACCCATCTGTCCTCTCTCTCCCGGGGTCTCCCCTTCCCCAGGCCTGGCGCACCCTCTCTTCTCACCAAGCCACCTCACCAGCAAGACACCACCCCCACTGTACCTGCCAGCGGATGGGCGGAGGCCAGACCTGCCTGGTGGCCTGGCTGGGCCCCGAGGGGGACTAAACACCTCCGTGAGTGAGGGGAGGGTGTGGTGGGGCTGATGAGGGCAGGCAGGGCGGCCGGGGTGTGGGCCTCAGTTTCCCCTTCATCCTCTCTCCGCACAGAGAAGCCTCTACAGTGGCCTGCAGAACCCCTGCTCCTCTGCAGCCCCGGGACCCCCGCTGGGGAGCTTCCCCTTCCTCCCCGCAGGCCCCCCAGGTACGCCCCCTAACCTGCCCTGTCCTGCCTGGGAAGCGTCCACACTCCTGCCCTCTGGGGGTTCCACACTCCCACCTAACAGAACTCAAAACTGTCTCTGGGGGTGGTTAGGTTTGCAAGAGGCTTAAGGAGAGATCCAGGCCTCAGCACCCAATTCCTGCCCACCAGAATTTGGCCTGGGAGACCCTCCACCGCCCCCTGGCTTGCTGCAGCCCCCCACCCTGGCCTCCTGGCAGCCCTCGAGGGGTGATGGGCCCCCCGCCGTGCCCTCCCAGCCCAGGTAAGTACCCTGACCACGGTCCCAGCTCGTCCCCATCCTCCAAAGCCCCGGCCGCTGCTGACCCCCGGTGGCCATCCCTGGTACTGCGCACACTTCCCCCAACCTCCGTCGGGTTCCCAGTGAGGATGGGCAGCTATTTTGAGGCCCCAAGAGGGATCGCCGCCCCCTCCTTTCCCAGGGTCCTCCTGCCGCGCCTTTGCCCACGCTGTGCCACCACCCTCCCGGCTTGCTTCCCTTCCTCACTGAGCTCACGGTCTCCCCCTCTCTCTTTCTCCCTGCAGTGGGGGCCGAAGCCTGGGCGAGGAGGGCCCCCCAACCCACGGCGCCTCTCCGCCGACGCCCCCAGTCAGCATCAAGTCCGAGCGCCTCTCTCCGGCCCCCGGAGGCCCCGGTGACTTTCCCAAGACCTTCCCCTACCCCTTGCTCCTCGCCCGGTCCCTGGCAGAGCCCCTGCGGCCCGGGCCCACCCTGCGCCGGCTGCCCTTGGCGGATGGCTGGCCCCGGTAGGAGACCCCCCCGGTGGCACCGGCCCAGCGCTCTAGCCGCGCGCGGAGAGGCCACGTGGGGACCCCACCTCCCACCAGGCCTCTTCAGCGAAGACCCGATAGTGACGGCCCCTCCGCGGCGGGGGCTTGGAGGTGCGCGGCTGGACTCGATCCTCCCTGGGGGGGGGGGCTCCTTTTCTCCTTTCGATTTGCGTGTACATCCACAAATAAAACGCGCTTGGCGTCCGTGGACCACTGACTGTTGCTGCTCAGAGCTCTCTCGGGACCTCGTTCTTGCCTAGTCTTGGCTTGGGGTCCCACCTCTAGAAGCCGACCTGAGACAAGGACTCAAGAGCCCTTGGGGTGTCCAGGAGGGCTGCAAGGTGGAGGGGTGGGGAGGCGAGGCGGGAGGAGCCCTGCAGGGGGCGTGCACGAGCAGCAGGTGTTTAGCGGGGGGCGGCAGAGAGTGATCACGCACCTAGGATGGTCCTACTCCAGGGGTGCGGGCCCTCGGGTATTTCCATTCCGGGGCCACTGGCCAGGGCTGCTCCTGGCACTGTCCCGTCACGGGCTCTGGGGCAAGCCGCTAGGCTGGGTCGTAGGGCTCCCAAAAGCAGCCCGTGAGAATCCTGAATGTCAGAGCTCCCAAGGTACTGGGAGCTCATCTTTTTATTTTATTATTTTATTTTATTAATTATTTTTATTTTTATTTATTTATTTATTTATTTTTGGGACGGAGTTTCGCTCTCGTTACCCAGGCTGGAGTGCAATGGCGCGATCTCGGCTCACCGCAACCTCCGCCTCCTGGGTTCAGGCAATTCTCCTGCCTCAGCCTCCTGAGTAGCTGGGATTACAGGCACGCGCCACCAGGCCCAGCTGATTTTTTGTATTTTTAGTAGAGGCGGGGTTTCACCATGTTGACCAGGATGGTCTCGATCTCTTGACTTCGTGATCCACCCGCCTCGGCCTCCCAAAGTGCTGGGATTACAGGCGTGAGCCACCGCGCCCGGCCGAGGAATGGACTTTTTGAACTGGGTTTTGATGTTTGAATAGGAGTTGGCTTGGTGAAGAAGGGGAAAAGGTCCTTCTAGTCAGAGAGATTTACTG